ATCTCTCTAACCTAGATGTACAATTTCATTTTTCTGACATTAAAGCTATGACTATATATTAGATGTCCATTAAAATTCCAGTGAGATGGATTCAATGGGAGGAGCTGAGGCATTTCCAAGCTTCATCAGTCCTTTCAGCCCAGTCAGGGATATCTCCACTGAGCGCTCATACCCTTGAAAGTCATCACAAATCTACAACTGAAAAACTTGGAATTCCATTTCGTTTTCCCTTGACTTTTCCCAAGGAGGGGAGGTCAGGGAACAGGCTGGCCTACATTCTGCTTGTTCCAAAAGAAACTCATTTTCTTCCAAGCAGTGGCTCATCTACCGAAACCATCTGTGTCATCAAATTTGAGGACGCTCTTTCAATGCCATCCTACGTAAACCAATAGAACTTGAATAGGGTTGCTTCAAACTGAGCTCTTACATATTAAGGTAAATTAAATACGTAGTTGAAGAAGAGCAAAGTTCAGGAAAAATTGCCAAGGTGTCCTAATGTGCTTTGGATGTGGGCATCCCAGTCCTACAGTTTCTTGAGCAGGTGTCATGTGTCTATAGATTCACCGACATAGAACCCAGTTTGGTGTTGTTTAAGTAACAAGATCGGAATGTTGTCTTATTTTTTACTACTATATCCCAGCCCTGTTTCATTTTATATAGCAGTTTCTCAATACAAGTTTATTGAAAGAATGAACTGGATATTTTAAAGATTATATTTTGCCTCTTTTATTTTCCTATGTTTTAATTATTTTTACACTGCAGATTTTGCCTGTGGCATGAGGTAAATGTGAGAGGGATAAATAAAATAAGTAATGTTAATAAAAACATGTGGGGCACAATGGCTCATGTTTGCAATTTGGGGAGACTAAGGCCGGCAGATCGCTTGAGCCCAGGAGTTTGAGACCAGCCTGGCCAACATGGTGAAACCCCGTCTCTACAAAAAAAAAAAATTAACCGGGTGTGGCGGTGCATGCCTGTAATTCCAGCTACTCAGGATGCTGAGGTGGGAGAAGCCCTTGAGCCTGGGAGATGGAAGCTGCAGTGAGTCGAGATCGTACCACTGCACTCCAGCCTGGGTGACAGAATGAGACCCTGCCTCAAAACATCAAATTAAAGCAAAAATGAGTAGGATAATCTTCCTCTGGAAAGAAACCAAGAGCAACACAAGAGCATTCTGAGCAAGGCCACAGGTGAGCCCAGGGCAAACGAGCTGATCTGACGCAAAGACTGTGGTTCTGATCATCTCCCCATGCCCCCACACAAGGCGTAGGAAACCCTGCAAGACCAAAGCTGGTCCATCAGCCAGCACTTTCCACCTCAGGCTTTTTACATCTGACATTAGGCTCAGACACAGTTATCTGGGAAACATCAGTCAAAGGTAGAATGAGCCCAAATTCACCAGGGACACATACAGAACGCCAGAGAATCTATAGCTCTCTTCTCCGTAACCCTTCTCGCCCTTTGCATTTCACCATAATCATCACAATCCTGGAACGTCATAAGTCCGGATTGCGTGCAGCTTGCTTTCCACAGCTCCCAGCACCTTCCTTATCCCAGGATTCATCACAGTGCACCATGATGTCTATTTGTCTAAACTCCATGTGCCACCTGTGACGTGTCTCCAGCTCCACATAATAAAATGAAGGAAGGAGGGAAGGGAATGAGAAGGAAAATAAGCAGGCAGGCAAGAGGGTGGACGAGTGTGGTCAACCACAGAGCAAGGGGACATCTGGAGGATTGCTTCCCTCTGAAACAGGAGTTGTGATTCTAATGTCTTCACAGCCTAGGAAGAGCCCTCTTATTAGTAAGTGGTAAAAAACAGAAAGCTCACCAGGTCGCGATGCTGTGCCTGTGCATGCAATAGGAGCCAGACACAACAGCCAGGAGGAACTTACAGAATATTTTGCAACATCGTAAGGAGAAAGCCTGCATGAGTGTTTCCAAAAATAAGTTTCTCCAAGCTGGGCCATGAACATTGTCAATAATGCCTGCCCTTCCCCTGTGCGAGGAGGGCAGCCCCGGTTGTTCAGCTCTGAACGCTCTCATACGCAACTTTTTATTTTAACTCCTTAGCTCCTGGTATCAGATTTTCCTAAGACAACTAATAACAATGGGAATCATAACCAAAACAGCATAGCTAGAAGGACTTTCATCAGGTGACAGAAAAAAAAAATAGCAAGGGTCAGTTACAAGCACAAAGGCTATTCAGATATCCAGTTATGCCTACAAATTTTGTAATTAAAATTAAAAATTTAAAAACTTTTTCCAATATGTAAGCTGGAATATGGTTGAAGAATAACGAGAATTTAAGTAAGAATTTTCTTTTCCTATTAACCCAAACAGCAAAGAGGCCTCGTAAGTGGCTGACCGAAGAGCCAGATGTCTGCCTAGCAATCTGGTGACTAAGCTGGTGGAGAATACACATCAAGAATATTCATTTTCAATTTATTCCAAAAGAAAATTATCAAGGTGTCTATTTCTTATTTCTACATGTTCCTCTCTGATGAAGAAAGGCTACATCAAAATTTTTTTCTAAAGACCTAAGAGCAACAATGAGGCACGCTGCAAGTGAAAGTACAAATCACACTTTGAGACATTTATTCACACATTTGTGACCAAACCGTCTGTTGCCAGGGTCCGTGCTACAAACCTGAAGCCCTGAATTCTGGACTGTGTGCTAAAGAATAGACACAATTTATTGTTATAATTCCTTCCCATTCTGCTTTTAAGAATAAAATATAAATTTTAAAATGTGAAATGTCTATGGATACATGTGGGTATCATAGATCACGTAGACCACATGAATACACACGTACATTTGAGAGGGGCTCGGTGGCTAATATTTCTTTCAAATTCATCTGGCATACTCCCCCACCCCCACCATTTCACTGCTTTTTCGTGCAAGTGACCACAAACAGTGGATCTAAATTTGGTACATTTCAAGGTCAAGTGATGCAGCAAACAGAATCTGAGCTCAAACAATATGCCTTTGTCCATTCACCCATCCACGTAAATGTGCACACACACTTAGCTTCACCTGCTCCAAGTTCATAAATCTTCATCCCAGAACATTACTTGCTTCTTCATCGAACGCTCACAGAAAGAAGACATCTGGATATGTTTGTTCCTTCCCTTCCATCCCCCATAACCCTCACCCCCCTCAACACACAGCACAGCTGTTAAGAGCAAGGAGAATATGCTTTTTAAATTCCATTGGCTCAGGTAGGCACAGAATCTGAAGCAGCTCCAAAATGGACATTAAGTAAAAAAATACCAGTTTTCAAAAGTCTGTAATTATGTATTTACACAAATTACATAATCCTGTATGTATTTACATACAATTACAGATTATCAAGTAAATAACACAAGGTTGTAGTGTTAATGTGATGAAATAGAATCAAAACACCGGAAGGAAGTCACTTGTTTATCTACAAAACAGGACCTGGCAGGGCAGGTTCCCCAGCACTGACCTGGCATGTCCTTCAACACTGCTTGGGGACATTCGCATGACAGATGGGAAGGCTGTTCAGTCCATGCTCGGTAAGTCTTTGACCATGGTGCAAGTGTTGGCACCAAAAAGACAATGGTTTGGCTATCTGAGCATCTGTGAAACCGGAACCCCCATTCCACAATGGCTCAGGGCTGCCATTCACTGGACTTTGGGTCTCTTGAGACAAGACCTGGATGCAAACCCATGAGCTGGGGATCACTCACTCTACTGCCCAACAGACAATACCCACACTGAAAACCTGAGCCATCCATTCTCCCAGAATGCCTATTTACATAAATTGCATGAGTCAATATTTATTTATTTACAGACCATTACAGTTTATTGTATCAATTGCCAAAAGCATATAACAGTTTGGTTTTCTTAAAAAAAAAAAAAACATAGGTGTTTGTGACTAGTCAGACGCTTGAAGAAGAAAATGTCGGTAGCTTAAGTCGGAAATATATAAGCAAATTCTCCTAAAAAAAAAAGGTACCAAAACAAAGTTAACTCCAAAAGTAGACATTAAAGTAGCATTTTCTAGGAATGCATGAAGATTTTAGTCTTTTTCGCAATTTTCTTTTTTTTCGGTTGATCATCTAAGGTCTCATGCTACTTTAAGACTACTTTTAGCAGTGGCCTAAAATCAATTTTTTCAGTGCTAAATAGTATACCTATGACATCCTAGAAACTTGATTCTTTCCTGTGGTCAAATGTTTAATATTTTTATCCAAAAAAAATGCCTTTTGGAAAAACAAAGCCTGAATATGTGCACATTTTAGCAGCAGCAAAGGGTTAAATAATAAATAAGAATACTACTTCTTGGGACTAAATGCAGTTTCTGTTTAGAAAGGGGAAAAAAAAGAAAATAAATGAAGAGGACATTCTGAGCTTTATCATAAATCAACTATTTTACATTGCTTCTGTCCCCTTCCCCCAAAATATCTCTTAATTCCAAATATTAGGCTTAGATTTTCCTTAATGCATATCAGCAGGAGGGCATTGCCATGTACTCCAACTTGGACCACAGAAAGGCAAGACATTGTCACGACAATAAGTCATGCGCTTCTAGCTCATGACAGCTGTCACTCACCAGTGACACACTTTTTATTTTTCATAGAGAATGTGCATCAGAGCAAAACAGTTTGAATATTAAATTTTTAAATTAGTTCCATAAATCCCAACACGTTTAAACTGTCACTCTCCACTTCTCAACACCACCGGCTAGAAAGTGTCATATGTAGATGAGAATTTGTTATAAATTCCTTTTTTCTTAAATATTGCTTTAAGAATTTGGCTTTTTTCTCCTTAGTATATAGTAAGAAATAGTCTCGCTTGCCCAAGGGCAAGTTCCAAAATTATTGCTACTAAAGAAATATGTATTCTTATGCTTTTCAGCATAAAATGTTACAAAAGCCTTGTAAAAGATATTCTACATAGTAACATCCCCTCTAAAAAAATTGAGTGTTTGTGGAGACCATTTTAAAAAACAAAACACAGTCAACAAATATAATACTTTCCCCCTCATTGTCATTATTGATAACGATTTATTAGTTTCATTTTGCAAGTTTTACTAAGGGTGCTATTACCTTGTAATTATGACAGTTCATACTGAAACCCATTTGCTCTAAAAGATGTTACAATGACCCCTATGATACTTCTATAATTTCATATTTGATAGTCAAGTGAACCAAAAAAAAGTTTACAAGTATGATCCTGTTAATGTGATTCTTATGTCTTTAAAAAAAAATAGTCTGTGCTACATCCTTTTTTTTTTCCTTTTTTAAGAATTCTAAATCAATACAATGTTTGATGTTAACACTGTCATTCTGGAGATCAGCTAAAATAAAAGCATAGTTATCATTTAGCTTTGGTATATTCTGCGATAGATTTAAACAAGTAAGACATATACCAACCCTCATATTTTCCAACCATGAAGTTACAATAGTGGAGTCACTTATGAGAGAGGAAATATTACAGACACAGAATCAAAGTTTGAGACCCAGTTTATCTTTAATCCTCTGGGATAAGCTATGAAACAAGCAGTCTGAAGAGTGAATACTCAGTGTCATGAGCGATGTGCATAAGTTTACAATAATACGGGCACAAAAGAGATTGTCGCCTTTAGTACATCAGGGTCATTAGAATTTCTCATATCCATGCACCGTTATATCTACTTGCATGAATTTACCACAGGTTCATAGCGGACTTTGCCATTTAATGCTTACAGAGCCTAAAGCTTCCAAAATGCCTATCTGGCCTGTACATATTTCATTAAAAATAAACTCTATATAATAAATAAATATATAAAATAAATAAAATGTTGCCTTTGGAATTTCTATAAATAAATTTAGTTTTTTTGTTTTTTTGTTTTTTTGTTTTTTGTTTTTTGTTTTTTTACTAAGAGGTCTTTGCTTTAAGTTCACTGGGATGATACCAGTGAGAATTAACTGAAAAAGTCTTTTAAGTAAGACTGCACCCTCGCGCAGGCCACCAGCCAGAATCCTGATGAGTCGAAGTATGGCAGCTGTGCTGATACAGGATGAAGTACAACTGATCAGAAATGTAAAAGCGTGTCTATTTCCAGCATGCATCAGGCCGCAGTCCTCTTGCTCTCGCTCCGCCCGTATCTCCCGCTACTCACACACACACACACACACACACACACACACACACGCTCTCCTAGCGCTCGCTCTCTCTCTCCTCTTCTCTCATGATAAATCAAGCAAGTGGCCCTAGGCGGTCCTCCAGGAGGAGGAGCCTTTAAGTGCAGAACAAAATCAGCATGTTCCCATCCAAGCCTCCATCATACATTATGCATGCGACAAAGTTTGGCAACAGTGGAGCTGATGTGATGACACAGCTAATCAATAAGAACCCACCGCGTGAAACCTTTATAGTGGTTACTTTTTTAAGGGCTCAAGTGAAGAAATTGTCTTTGTCAACTTTGGCTTAGAATATCCTTATATAGTTCAGGTACTTTGTCGGGGTCCACTGGTCTAGGTAAAAAATGTGTGAATTTCTGGTGCCGTTTAGTCCTAGTCCCTTCTCGCGGAGTCCCATCTTTATTTAACGCCACATAGTATCGCCTTCCAGTGTCCACGTGCTTATATATGTTTGATGAGTAGGTATTATACCAGTTTTCTTCAAACTGTTCTCTGAATACACACTCTTGGGTTAGTTTTTCCTGTAAAAAGAAAAAGAGGGAGAATATTAGGAAAAATAGCTAACACATTCTGGGCTCAATACGTAGCTGATGGATAAGTGCAGCAAACCACCTTGGCACACGTTTACCTATTTAACAAACTGCACATCCTGCACATGTACCCCAGAACTAAAAACTAAAATTAAAATTTTTTAAAAGGGAAATAAACATTGCAACATTAGCTACTTTCAATATTAAAAGTAACATTTCATTGCTACACCATATAACCTCCATGAGAAAATACTGATGTTTTAGCCCATTTTAACCATTTTAATGCATTTTGCAAAAACTGCCTAACCTTATAAATTTAACTACATTCTAATTTCTAACTCATAATGGTTAAAGCGCAAAAGAGTCTACATGTTTTCTAGTTGAACAGTTGCACATACCAATCATTTACATGAGTCAAATGCAAACAACAACTAACGTGATAGGTTTTTCCCACTTTTCCTAGAGCGTCCATGTGGCGACCATGCTGGGGGGGAGAGCCTGTGGCTGTGCCAAGGCTCAGATAATGGCTTTGTCTTTAACACCAGTATATTTTGTATAAAGTACTTGCTGCAGAGACCAACATTAGCAATATGACCAGTGATGTCGGAGATTTTCTGCCCTTTTAGCAGCAGCATTTACTTACTACTCTCTAAGACTGGTTCTTAAACTTCATTCAGTGTGTGGCAGATTCACCTGCGAAGCCTTTTCAAGATGCAGCTTTCTGAGCCCCAACCCTTTAAAACTCTGATTCAGCAGTTCTCAAAATATGCATTTTTAACAGGCCCGTGGGAGAATTCTAAATGCAGAATTCTAATTTTCAATCTACATTTTAAAACATAATGCTTCTATGATGACCAAGTGAGTCTTCTTGAACCCGAAGTAAAAACGAATATTCTGGCCTTCCTTTTCCTTGAATGTAGATAGGAGAAGAGACCCCTAACTAAAAAAGCTACATTCTCAGTTTCACAGATCCCAAGAAGAAACGTGCCCTGAACCAGATCAGAAGGCTCTGCATCTTCCTAGAAGGACTGCACCTCCTCTCCACTTGAGCTTTATGAAAGCTGGGGTCCAGCTGAACCTCACAACCTGGGGCTCCTGGGGCTACAATACTCATGGGCAGTAACAAACAAAAATAACCCACACACACCACATCCCAAAGCCATGAACACACCCTAGGCAAAAATGTGTGCATCGAAGCCGGCCCCTGGAGAAATAAAGCGACAGGACTTACTGGCCTTTTTCCTCTTCTCACCGCTCAACTGAAACTTTTAAAATCAATGTATTTTGTGTTTAAAACAGTAAACACTATAATAACTTGTTAGAAGTAGTTTCTTTTCTCTTACCTACCTGGCACCTTATATAAATAAGAACACAAATAAGCAAACACAGATAAGGGCGTTCGTTTCTGTCATTCAGACCCAGGGGACAGAGAGTAAACTTTATATGTCACCACAATACAGACGTTCTCTTTTCATGTACAGAGTTAAGGACAATTTAATACAATGAATTCGTAGATACCAGTTGGGTAGGATCCATCATCCCCAACTCCTTGCAGAGTAAGTCAGAAGAGCAAAGGAGTGGACAAAGGGAGAGAATTTGACAAAATCGATCGATAGTCTGTCGTGAGGCCACCTTTTCTATATCCTTCCCTAATTCAAAGGCTTAAACCACACTCAAGAGCTCATGAGGGCTGGCACTTCCTGACAGGTGTTCTTCTATGTGTCCGGAAGCACTGAGTAGGTTTTTAACAAAACACTATCACACGGGACAAATTTTGCCAAGTGGGCTGAAATGGGGGAAAGCGGAAAGGAAAAACCATACATCAGGCAAAAACGAAAAGGATGGGAAAACTTCAGACTTCTGGTGCTGGGTTCATAAGGACAGAATGAATTGCAGAAACCAAGCTTCACCCCAAACTGAACTGCTCCCCTCTGAGGGTGTCCGGGAGAAGCAACTCTACCCCACAGGAGGGGCGCACAGGAGAGAGGCACTCCTGTACCCTCCTCTGCATGTGGGCCCAGAGGGGTGCTCTTCTGGGGAAACTCAACCTCCTCCTAGGCTGAGGAGATCAGGCTGAATGTGTGACTGTGACTTCTGTCTCATCTCTATTGAAACTCATGGAAGTTTAAGTGTGTTGAAGACATTAATGGCTATTTTAGTACTGCTTCCACTTGCATAATAGTCTCCTCACAGGCGAGATCATTCCTAGCTAAAAATAGCTGGTTTCAGTTTGCTGTAATTAAGTGAAATTTCTAAACAAATTATGTGCATTTATTTTATCATTAATAAAACAGACCAAAAGATGGGATTGGATGAGCCTTTAGTTCTAGAAGGGACAAAAAAAAAACTAATTCAAAGTAAGCTGTCTTTTTTGCAGCAGGAAATCACATCACCTACAAACACTATGAAATTAAACTTTATTTTAAAAACGTAGAACACTTCCTCCCCCTTTTTGAGCAATGAGTGAGGTGCTTGCTACCTTATATTTCCTCTGCATACCCAGCACACCCATAGCACAATGGTTTTTCTTGGATCAGAAATAGATAAAAATCCTGGCAGAATATAATGAGTTTATGTGACAGGAAAGCCTGACTTTGGAGTCAGAAGCCTGGTCCTATCCCAGCTTCACCTGTCACTAGCTGCAGGGCTTTACAACTGGTTCTCTCACCTCTCCAAGTCTCAGGAACCTCATCTTTAAAACAGGTGAGTGATAAGTGTCTTGAGACAGGGTTGTGACAGAGATCCAGTCACAGAACAGCACTGAACATGGGGGAAGCTCCCAGTCAACAACAGTGTTCTTAATACCATGTTAACATCTTAACATCTTAGAACCTGGTACCAGTACCATGCTGTTTTGATTACTGTAGCCTTGTAATATAGTTTGAAGTCCAGCAGTGTGATGCCTCCAGCTTTGACCAAAACAGAGACATAGACCAATGGAACAGAACAGAGACCCCAGAAGAAACACCACACATCTACAACCATCTGATCTTTGACAAACCCAACAAAAACAAGCAATGGAGAAAGGACTCCATGTTTAATAAACGGTGTTGGGAAAACTGGCTAGCAATGTGCAGAAAGCAGAAACTGGACCCCTACCTGTCACCTTACACTAAAATTAACTCCAGATGGATCAAATATTTAAACATAAAACCTAACACCATAAAAACACTAGAAGAAAATGGACATAGGCATAGGCAAGGACTTCATGACTAAAACACAAAAAGCAATGGCAATAAAATCCAAGATAGACAAATGGGATCTAATTAAACTCCACAGCTTCTACACAGCAAAAGAAACCATCATTAGAGTGAATCAGCAACCCACAGAATGGGAAAAAATTTTTGCAATCTACCCATCTGACAAAGGGCTGATATCCAGAATCTACAAAGAACTAAAACAGATATACAAGAAAAAAGCAAACAACCCCATTCAAAAGTGGGCAAAGGATATGAACAGACACTTTTCAAAAGAGGACATATATGAGGCCAACAAACATGAATAAATGCTCATCATCACTGGCCATTACAGAAATGCAAATCAAAACCACACTGAGATATCATCTCACGCCAGTTAGAATGGCGATCATTTAAAAATTGGGAGACAACAGATGCTGGAGAGGATGTGGAGAAACAGGAACACTCTTACACAGTTGGTGGCAGTGTAAATTAGTTCAACCATTGTGGAAGACAGTGTGGCGATTTCTCAAGGATCTAGAAACAGAAATTCCATTTAACCCAGCAGTGCCATTACTGGGTATATATCCAAAGGATTATAAATCGTTCTACTATAAAGACACATGCACACATATGTTCACTGCAGCCCTGTGTACAATAGCAAAGACCTGGAACCAACCCAAATGCCCATCAATGATAGGCTGGACAAAGAAAATGTGGCACATATACACCATGGAATACTACATAGCCATTAAAAACGATGAGTTTGTGTCCTTTGTAGGGACTTGGATGAATCTGGAAACCATCATTCTCAGCAAACTGACACAAGAACAGAAAGCCAAACACCACATGTCCTCACTCATAGGTGGGTGTTGAACAGTGAGAACATGTGGACTCAGGGAGGGGAGCATCACACACAGGGGACAGTTGGGGGGGTAGGGGAGAGACAGCAGGCGGTGGGGAGTGAGGTGAGGGGGGGGAGGGCTAACATGGAGAGGAATGCCAGATATAGTATGCACCTAAAATAAAATAAATAACTAAATAAAAATTAAAATTAAAAAAAAGAACCTGAATACACATTAGAAAACAGCAAATGCAACTTTTCCAGTTAAATACATGGGACAGCAAGGCCCAGACGTGAAGCAATTTGCACCTGGTCCGTGCCACAGGATCTTGTTATTATGTAATGAAGCCATCAGAGCAAGAACTTCCCAGGAGCCCTAGCACAGCCACCACTCTTGGGACCAGGCCCTTCCATTTTTCACTCTTCACTGACGAGGCAGTATGATGCCCACAGCACCACTCTTCCAGTGACACTTGTGCCATTTCTCTCGGAGAAGGTGCTGGGGAGGGTCGCAGAAGTAAAGGCTATGCTCAGCAATTCAGTAAAGCAACTCTTCTCAGAGTCCTATGTGTCCCTCTACTTCAAAAGGTAATTTTTTAATAATTCTATTCATTTTCAGGAGGACTAGCTGGAGAGGGGAGGAAAATAGCAATCACGAACAAAATTCCACAGTGGTAGAGGTATCACTAAGAATAAAACGTGAAATAGTTTTCAGTGCTTAAGGAAAGATTCTCATTTTATACTTTTTAAAGAATATGAAAAATCCCCTTTTTAGAAAAGTAAATATACTAAGAAATTGAACTGATCTTTTCACTGCCAGTTAACACTGCCCTATTTCCCTAGCAGGCTATTCCAGCACCGTTCACACACACATAACTTAGAAAATAAAGCGAATTATTCAATTTAAACAGTATAATTGGCCAGGCACAGTGGTTCATGCCTATAAACCCAGCACTTTGGGAGGCCCAGGC